TTCTTCGAAAAAAGAACATAAAGTTAATATAATACGACATGGAATCTGGCAAAGCCACAGATTGTGGTTCATTTTTCTGAAAATTACCATACTTCTTTGTAAATTTTATAAGGTGTTTATCAATTGCACTTTCCAAGTCAAAGATATTTTCAAATTGTTTTAAACAAAATGCTCTCGCCTGAAAAACTACCGCAGCCTCTTGATCAAAGCTTTGAACAATAGAACTTCTTTCTGAAGAAAACATTCTGGAAAATGTAGTCACTCTGGTAATTAACTTTCGATCTGTTCTCTGATATTGAGAGATTATCTGCACAAACCCAAAATCATTGGGTTTTGAATGATCGTTGTTATCAAATAGCAGAGAAATGTTCGTTGTTGGAATAATACTACCAACTTTCCATCCACTTCCACAGGGCTTACCTTCTCCAATAAAACCCTTAAATATCACATTAGGACTAGTTTTAACTTGGATTTTAGAATTAAATCCCATTGTTAACACTCCTCCTATTGAAGAATACAAAACATCGAGACTTCTTGTCTTAACATCTTCTTCAAAATCCTGTGCCATAACTATCGCTCCTCCGCATGCACTAGTGACCTCTTTTAATTGTTGCACACCAAAATCTGCAATGGTTTCAGCGATTATATCCACACTGGCTCCAATGGAATTTAGAATGTTTCCCTGCTCCAAGTAAAAGCTTGAAGCCTTGACCAGATCAATCTTCTCATTCCCGGCAATTTCAACAGGACAGACTTTCCCAGGGCCAAATGTACATGCACCTTGGGTAAAAAGCATGATCTTAACTGGGCTTTCTGAAAATGGACCCTCAATAAAACTAATGACAAAAGACAGTGCAGCTCCAGTACATCTTAAAGCTCTAAATCCACTTACAATCGGAAATGGGTCAACACGTAAGCCATTAAACAAATTGGCGATTTCCTGATATTTTTCAGATTTTTTAACCAAAAAAGTCCGAATGTCATCCATTCCCTGCATATCCTCCTTCTTATAAATATAATCCCCAGAAAATTGGTAAATGGTTTTAATAACATCATCATTAAATGAATAAAGATCAATATTGGTGCCAAATAAGACTACTCCAATTAGACATTCGTCTGGAAGTAGATCGAGAGTTTGCCTTAATCCTCTTATCATTATCTCATGTCTTTCCTGATCATAAGTACATGTGTCTATGAGAAAAATAAAAACGGGTGGAAAAGAGGTAGTTCGATTCAGTACATATTCAACCGTATTGTTTCCCTCAATGATCTCTGGAAGAATGTGCTCGAAATCTCCATTAAATTCATTTTGATGCTGTGAAAGCTCTTTTGAAAAATTATTCCTTCCACCACAAAAGTTACAGGTCCAGGTTTGTGTTCCACTGTCGATAATGGAAAAAGGGCAAATAATAGACTGGCATTTACTACAAGGTGTTGGTTCATATTCTAAGAGTTGACAGGGCTGATGAATATTATACAAGCAAGCTGTCTGAATAATATCGTTTTTAAGTTTTGATGAGGGCCAAATATTCCATGTTAACCGAACTCCATCATAAGCTTCTATATCTTTTATTGTTTGGTCCATTAAGGGTTAAAAAGTTTTCAAAACATTTGTTAAGTTGGCTTTTTGAATTAAAACAAACAAAATAATTAAACTATGGATAAGCTTGATATTATATGGACCTAATGCATATCATGGATACAGTTGTGAAGTAGTAGAAGTTGGTTAATGAGTAAAGAATAAATTTATATGCTGATTTGACTAATTCAATTCACTTGTAAATTCATCATAAAAGTATGATCCTCAATACTACTTGAAAGTCATATTAGCAAATGGTACTTTTCTACACAAGAGTTTCATACAACCAATCATTTTTAATGAATTGATTGATTTTATAAAAACACACTCTTTTTCTTCTTAGTTGTTTTATTGGATCCTATTTGATAGGTCAGATTATGATATGGTTAAGCAGATAATTTTTTAGTGTTTGAGAAATGTTTCAGTCTTAAAAAGATTATCCAAGGCTGAAACTTAAAAAATGGCAGCTGAGAAAAAGAAGCATTTTTGGGAATGGTCAAATGAAGAAGAAGTGAGCAATGTTCAAGAAAATAAAAAAACTGTCATTGGATCTAAGGACATTGATTTTGGGAATGGGCAAAATAAAGAGGATGAGAAAAGTACTCAAAATGAGGACGAATCTCCCAAAACAAGATGGGGAAAGAAGTCTAAACCAAAGGCTGATTCAGGTGGAAACGAACATAAAAATGAAACTGGAGACAAACCATCAGATCACGATGCAGGGGGTAGAGAATCAACAGGTGAAAGCCCATCAGATAACCAAAAAGCTGAATCAACAAATGATGCGAATGATGAGTCCAAGATGCCTAGTGGAACAAGGTGGGGTAAAAAAGAGCCTAAACAAACCAAAGCAGAGCAAGATGGGGATGTTAAAACTCAATATAATGAGCAGCATACCAGTACTGTGGATGATGGATATAATTCCAACAAGTCAAATGTTGGAAATGAGGCAACAAACCAGGCTAGAGAAAATGATCAAGATAAATCAATAGATTCATCATATCCTAACGATGAAAAGAAAGTTGATCAAAATAAAGAATCAGAAGATACTGGCTGGTGGGGTCGAAAAAAATCACAGGATGGTGAAACAAAAGGTACTGAACAGACCACAAACAATGACCAGACCACAGACAATAAAAAACCCAATGAGTATGCACAAAAATCGAGTGAATCTGGTAAAAACAGTGGTACAATTTCTAAGGAAGGAGAAAATCGGCCTAACTCCACTCCAAACAAGGATCTCGAAGACAATCAAGATTCTAGAGAACCAAATACATACGACAATAAGTCAAATCCAAATGCTTTCCAGAATAATGAAAAGAAAAAAAGTAATACTATGCCTGATGATGCAAATCAGAATACTTCCAAATCAGATAAAGAGAACGTCTCTTCTACCAAAGATGAAGCCAATGAAAAAATGAAAAGCAAAGAAGCAGCAAATGGCAATAAACCAAATAATGAAGAAAAGGATTCAAATGGACTAACAAGTACAGACAAATCTACAGATAAAGAACAGACAAATAGATCAGGCCAACAAAGCAATATTGCAGATGAAAAGAAAGTAAATTCTAATAACAATGATCAAACTATGGGTGAAGGAAAAGACAAGCAAAACTCCATCCAGGATGAAAATTCTGAATGGGAAGATCCAGAAAACATCAACGAGCACAGATTGATATTGTATTTGGGCATATTTAACATTGTGATTACTATTTTATTTCTGTTCTTGACAGAATTTGTTTTCGACTGCACTGTTTTATTTAACAAAAAGGCTGTTTGTTTACTTGTTATTGCAGTAGTACCATTTTTTTGTCTTTCAATCGGTAAGAAATATGTTGGTATAGCTTTAAGTGTGATCTCTTCACTACTTGTTCTATTTCTATTGATATACCTTTTTGAATACCGAGTTCGAGTTTATATTTACAAATTTGATATTGATGGCTTCATACCACCAGGAGAACTGAAAACTTTAGTTTCAGAAGCAACACCATTTTCTACGAGACAAGATGTTATTAATCAAAAGACCAACAATATCATATTTAAAACCCTGACAGAAAGTCAGTTTCGTGGGGTTAAAATTATACTGTTCCATTCTAAATATCGAACTGTTAATGGAAATGAAAGGTTAATGAAGGAAAAGGCAGATGATTTAATTCACAGTGTAATTAAAGAAAATGCAGATGATTCTTTGGTATTTGTCCATCCCATTCTTGGTCTCAACTGGGTTGAAGGTCAAGAAGAATTACTTCTGAGGCTGATTCGTAAATCGCGGTTTAGTAATATCAAGCAAGAATATGTGGAGTCCTATGGCTTTTTTGACTTAAATGAAACAAATATCAAATTGATTAGAAGGAGAATTTACGACTTTTATGAAGCTGAGCACATTTCCCGAGATTTTAGATAATTCTTTCTTATTTAAAATTATCAGTACTGATAAATTATTAACTAACTATACTATTTAGATATAGATATTCTTAATGACATTACAACCAAATATATCTTCTAAATTCTAAAGATGCCACTTGCATCTATGTAAGGTTTTCAATGATACTCTTTGCTTATCAACAACAGTATATTACCTTTTTATAAATACTATACTTATGATATAGTGTCTTCATGTTACGTATGAAGATATATCCAAACAAATAAATTTTCTTTTCCAACAAAATTCTGTATTTTATTTATGCTTTTGGAGAAATTAGAATTAACCTTTATATATAACAGATTTCAATAATATTGTTTAAACTATTAATAATGACAATTTCGAAATAATTAATGAATTCTCCAAAGACAAATGATTATCAGGTGGAACAAACTGTACTAATATTCTACAGATTTAATAACCAATGTTGAGTGACCCTTATAAACTCGCCAGTTACCATTTGCATGCTTGTAGTTTTCAACGGCAATATTTTCCACCCCAAAATGTCGTTGGCTAAAAAATTTGAAGAAAAGTTGATCGGTGGAAAGTTTAGATTGCTTAATGAAAAGATGTACAAGGATATTCAAATATCTAGAGAGCAGTCTCGCAAATACCACGAATACTATTCCAAGCAAATTTCGAAATGGCCAGCTGATCCAAATAAAATTATTTTTGAGAAAATAGATGAAATAGGGAACTTTGCTAAAATTGCAGATCTAGGCTGTGGGGATGCCAAATATTTTTTAGACAAGTCAAATGTATTTTTATATGACAAGTACCCAATCCACAGCCGAGTAATAAAAGCTGATATTATGGCTATTCCATGCGAAAACAACAATTTTGATGTATCCATATGTTGTCTCAGTCTAATGATGACCTATATTTCTAAAGTGTTGTTGGAGGTTAATAGAATCACAAAAGTTGATGGACATTTTATAATTGCAGAGGTTAAAAGTAGATTCTCAAGTGTGCACAGATTTGTCAAAGATATTGAAAAATATGGGTTTAAGACTCTGAATATTGATACCAGCAACAGTTGTTTTGTAATTATGACTTTTCAAAAGATAAGTGATATAAAGACAAGAAAGAAGTTGCCCACCGTTTCCCTAAAGCCGTGTGTTTACAAAAAAAGGTAATCACATATTCTAGCTCTGATACACTATAATTGCTAATACTGGAGTAGCTCATGAATTTACAATTGATTAAATACTTTTAAACTGACTATATAATCTGTGTAAAATCTTTTTATGAATACCTTAGGTAATGAGAAATATGGAGTTTTCATATTTAAATAATCAACTTAGTAATAAATATGTAAAATCCAAGTGAGTGGCTTCGAAAAACTGTTCATGTTTTGTATAGTTGAGGTATGTTTGATAGCAAATACGTATGATCAATACTTTTTAAAAATTATCTGATCAAGTAAAAAAGATTAAAGATAACCTATGGTGGTAGATAACAGAGTCTACCTACAGATTTTATTTCACATTTCTCAAAAAGTTTGTAACATAGCATTTAAATAATTTGTTCAAACTTCAAAAGAGTGAGAATCATTATAAAATCAACCTCTAATGATGCAGAGAAACAACTTGCAAGATGAGATCTCATAGATTTTCCAAGTCATTCGTTTCAACTTCTCCAATTCCTACAAACTATGTAATTTACTTTAGAAACTATGATTTTCATAAAAATTTTTGCAATTTTTGGCCCAAATGCCACAAAATGATTTCGTAGAACAGCACATTAAAAAGTATGGCAAATCTCTTGATTATGAGGTCAAGAAAGCAAAGAAATTGGCGAGAGAATCAAAACTAATTTCTAAATTATCGAGGTCGCTAACGGGAATTAAAGCGAAAATTTATCACAAAAAGAGACAGAATGAAAAGATCCAGCTTAAGGCAAATATCAAGCTAAAGGAAGCAGCAATCAAAACAAAACAATGTGAGATTAAAACAGAGGCTCTTCCAGCATTCCTACTTGATAGAGGATTAGAGGAAAAGGCAAAGGAGCTTACATCGAAAATTAAGCAGCAGAGACAAGAAAAGGCAGCAAAGTATTCAGTTCCTATTGCAAAAGTTGAGGGTATTTCAGAGAAGGACGTATTTGGAGTTGTTAATAGTGGGAAGAGAAGAACCAAGCATTGGAAGCGGTTTGTTAATAAGCCATGCTTTGTGGGAAGTGATTTTACCAGAAAATCTCCTAAATTCGAAAGATTTATTCGTCCAATGAGCCAAAGATTTACATCTGCTCATGTAATCCATCCTGAATTGAGGACTACATTCAATTTGCCTATTATTTCAGTAAAGAAGAACCCACATTCAGATTTATTTACTGGACTAGGAATATTATCTCGTGGGACAATTATTGAAGTGAATGTAAGTGAGCTTGGTATGGTTAATGCGAGTGGGCAAATCGTTTGGGGGAAATTTGCACAAATAACTAACAAGCCAGAAAATGATGGGTGCGTAAATGCGATCCTTTTGGCATAATCCCGTCGAATTAAATGTTCTGTGTTCGAAAATAAAAAGGTTTTTTCGTAGAGAAGTTTTTATTTTCCTAAGAATTTGCCTCATATCTGATGGCGACAAAATTTTAATTTTAAAAAATATAGTGCATGAATGATGAACTTATATGTGAGAATAGTAAATTTCTAAACTATTTTATTTGAATATTCTCGCTTATATATAGCTTAGGTTATTCCTGTGGGTCAATTATTCCGCTTTCTGTAATTGCAAATACTGCCTCTGATTCTGCTAGGGAAGGGGAATCGTATATTTTGCAGATTCTTGTTTCTCCACGTCCCTTTCTGAAGTATAATCTTGTTGTAGAAGCATGTGCTATAATGTGGCCTCCAATTGGCTTTTTAGGATCTGCTCCAAACATAGCTGCTGCCCCATCCACCGTAGCAACAACCTGATTTGTAATTACTACTGCTACTCCATAAGTGTCTGCTAAATTCATGAGTGATCTCAGAAAACGAGCCAAATGAATCTGCCTTGCATTCAATTCCCCACGACCATTATAATCCGTCCTATATAGTGATGTGGCTGAATCAACTATTAATAGAGAATATTTGCTTTCGGACATCATGGCCGATGCATGGATCAATAAATTGTTTTGATGATCAGAATTAAAGGCTCTGGCATATGAAATGTTTTCCATAACTTCACTCGGATCTAACCCCAATCTTTCTGCTATGGGAATAAGCCTTTCAGTTCTAAATGTTCCTTCAGTGTCAATATACATACACTTGCCTGCCCCACCACCATTCTCCTTTTCTAACTGGCATGTCACTGCCAAAGTATGGCACATCTGTGTTTTTCCTGTACGAAATTCACCAAATATCTCCGTAATACTACCACTTTCAATACCTCCATTAAGTAATTTGTCAACTTCTGTACTTCCAGTACTAATGTAAATCACCTCACATCTTTTCAAATGGTATTCTGTTGCCGTAGTAAAGCCCATTGGCACTAACTTAGAAGCTTCCTTCATTAACTTATCCACTTTTGCATCACTAAATCCTTTAATATTCAAAAGTTCCTTGCGTGGAGCAAATGCTAAGCTTTGAACAGTGTTATAACCTGCCTCAGACAATTTTGATACGTCACTAGCACTAACCCCAACACTTTTAAGCTCGTCAATCGAAATGAAGGAGTGCTGCTCTACATTCTCAATATTCTCCATACTTTCTCTAATTGCCATTTTGGGATATAAAATATTGTCGAATGAAAGATGATTGTTCTGAATTGGAAATTGAATTGAGAAGAATGGAGTCCTTTGAATCAGCCATTGATTTTGTATATCGCAAATTACTCAAAAGAGATAAAAATCAGGTAGAAGCCATCCAATCAGTTTTTTCTCGTAAGTGATTCATTTTCAACATTTTTTAAATAATAACATTGTGTTCTAGACTTTAGTTATGAAACGAATTATTCATGAACTTAATAAATTATTAATGCATTTTTCAGTAATTATTCTAATATGTGGCTCTCTACAGGAGATATGGCAGTATCATTGATTTGATGAATTTGGTCGCAATAAATCAGTAAAACTCTTATCCTCGAAATAATTTATTAATATTTTACATTTTCACATATAATAATGAGGTCTGCTAATATCAATCCCCATCTCTTCCAGTGCTGCTTCCAAATCTGTGACCTGTAGAGTAACTTTTTTTTCCTTGGAAAATCTCTTGTCTTTCAGATTGGATTTGGTATTAATCTTGTGGAATTGGAATGCATTAACTGCTACATCGGTCAGAAACTTATGTGACATCAGTGAAATCAACTTTTTGACATCGTCATCATTACTCTGAATCCCATTCTTTTCCATAGCGTATTCTATAACATTATTTGGAATTAAGGGAACATAGGACTCTAATTTGCTTTTGAGATTCAAAAATTCTTTACTATCCATGTGGGATTAAAAAATGAAAAAATTTGCACTAAAAATTCGGAAAGATAATTTATTATGAAGGTTTTATATTGATAATCAACTATTAAATATCAAGGGAACCCCGGAACATTTAGCGTGAAAAATGGTTAAGTAACATCGATATAAATGGAGTACCTGCCAGAAATGATAACATCGTAAAAACTACAACCCAGTGTTTTTTTGATAATGGAATAAAGTTCATGGCCCTTAGAATACAATTCCACTCTAGATAGAGACCTAGAAGTATGAAAGCCCAGGTTGAGAAATAAATTGCAAAGCAAATCAAAAACGAATTGGTATGCTTTCTAGATTCTCTATGAGGGACGAAGTCCCCAGATCTGAAAAATATCATTCCAATTATAAAAGATGAGCCAAGAAATGTCATCGTTGAATTTGTAGATTGCTTGGGTATCTCACCTGAAATAGATGACCCACAAAATCTAGAGCTAAACAAAAGAACTATAAATATGTAAATTAATTCAATAAAATCAAAAAAGCTGATCTTCAGAAGATTAGTTTTGATTTTTGACGAATCTATCGTTTTGGATGGTTTGAACCGGATAAGAAAGTTTGAGAGAATATAATAGGCTGATAGGTCTGAGAACAAGCTACAGCCATCGGCTGGGGAAAAGCAGTAATACAAATTCGCCATCATATTAACCCCTGACAGCAAAGTGTTATAAAAGCAAAATCTGAATTGTGCAGAGCTCATTGCCAATGCTGATCTTCCAATTTTAATAATCTCTATGCAATATTTCAAATTCAAACCGGAAAATTGAGCTGCTGAAACAATCTTTGAGCTTGATAATGAAAGACTTGTGGATGCGGCTGATAAGGCTCCAATATCATTCCCACCATCACCAACGAACATAACAGACGATTTCTCTCCGAAATATTTCACAAGATTTTGTTTCATCTCTGGATTAAACCTAGCAAATACTGTTGAATGGTTCAGAATAAGATCTCTAAGATTAGAATCAATTAACTCACCAAAAATGTCACCTTTTATAACAAACACAAACTCTTTACTATCCAAATTACGTGGCTGCAACGAAGCCTTTTCAAAATTGTAATCAAACTCAACCAACCGCCCATCTTCATCAAACAATTGCATTCCGAAACCCTTACTTGTCGATGGAAACAACACAGTTGTACAGCTACTGATCATTCCAACTTCTCTGGCTACTTGCAAGCCAGTAAATACTGAATCTCCAGTGCACATCTTGGTAGGAATATTGGCAATTTTAAGTTCTGAAATAATTTCTGGACTTTCGATCTTAATCTTATCATGGAAAACAATCAGGCAAAGAAACTCCATGCCAATCTCATCTTCATTTCGAATAAATCTGGAAGGTCCATTCTTCCAGCATACACCCAGAACCCTGAAACCCTTTTTGCAGTATTCAAGAGCATTAGCAAGTAGTTTAGGATCTATTTTGGAACAGATAGATTTTATCGATTCAATCGAACCTTTGGTAAAAATAGAAACCATACCTGTCTTCAAATTTTCTACAACTACACTCATTCGAGCATCAAACGAATTAAATTGGTGTATATGAAGAATCTTAACACACTCATCAGAATTGTTAAAATAAACTTTTCTTATCAATCCATCATCGTCTATATAACCACCTGAGTACTTCAATATCTCCAAATCAATTGAATCTCCCTTGTTTTCATGGCTATCAACCACTACAGTATGGCATGTTAAAATGGCAGTTTGTGTCAGAATATCCAAATCGGAAAAGATTCTCGAAACTCCAGAAATATCCTCTATGCATTCAAGAGTGATTTGGTTAGTAGTCAAAGTCCCTGTTTTATCAAATATGACCATCTCCACATACCCAGCTTGTTTGATCAATTCCTTAGAAACCGAAAGAATTCCAGCTCTACTCATCTCCGCCTCGGAATAAATATCTCCCAGTGTTAAACAAGAACTGAGAGACGGATTTATTAAAGCAAAGGCAATATCCAGAATCTCAAACCAAACTTTAGACCACCTAGCATAGGAGATAAGATGAAAATAGAAAAACACCATACTGATTAAAGATACAATAGCTAGCCACTTATAAAGAATAAAAATCTGTTTTTCATATGTATTTTGAACTCGTGGTCTATAATGAACAGAGTTACATAGCATTTCTTTCTTTGTTCTCTTACCTGTTCTAATTACAACTCCAATAGCAGTATTCTTACCTCCACAATCAAAGCCATTATTACTTTTCATGATTGCAGTTCCAGAATATATTGTTGAGCCAGGTCCCTTTGATATTGGTATGGCTTCTCCAGTAAGAAAGCTTTCATCAACTAAAGCACCTCCAATTATTATTTTTGCATCACATTTAAATTCAGTAACTTCATCCAAGTAGATAATATCTCCCGGATAAATCTCTGACTCTGGAACCGACACAAAACTATTTCCCCTAAAGACTTTGATGTAACTCATCACAACCATTTCCATCAGTTTTTTTCTATTATTGAATTCGCTAAGAAATTCCTTAATGGTAATGTATGAAAAAAATATGAGGGATATCAGCGCGAACTTCAAATAGCCAACATTATACCAAACAAACATTCCAAAGATCTCCCAAAGAAAGGATGGACTCAAAATAATTTCTTCGATAATCTCTGAAATCGAGTTAAAAGAGATATTATTTAGATTTTTCCCATAAAATGCACTTTTAAATGCCAATTCCTTCTGATTAAAAGAATGATTTTCAT